TCTTCTCTCTCCGCCGTCCGATCGTCCTCCTCCCTTTCCTTCACCAATCCAACGTCTATCAATCGCCGCCGCCTTCGCCTCCAAGAGATCTCCCTCTCCTCCATTCGATGCAGCGCCGCCGCAGGTGATCTCTTTTTATCTTCGATTTCGTTTAGGGTTTTTTGCCTTTCATATTTGCAAATATACCCTCGAAAACCAAACATCTGCTACTTTACCCCAAAAGTCATGTAAGAAATATCCCTAAATTTTTTTTGTCAGCCCGTTCTAAAACTAACGAAGTTAAAGGTTTTTTTGGGTGTATTTTAATTCAGTGGTGTAGACCTACGGGCAAATTAGCAGATATGTGGATTTGGGAGTAATTAATCAATTATTTGGGGGGGGTTTAAAAGCAAAGTCTTGAATTTGATTGTTGAAATGTCTCAGCAGCACCAGTATCTGGTAGCATGGCGCCTGCGATCTCTTTGACCGAGAACGCTTTGGAGCATTTGAATAAGATGAGATCGGAAAAAAGCGAGGATCTTTGCTTGAGAATTGGGGTCAAGCAAGGTGGGTGCTCTGGCATGTCTTACACTATGGAGTTTGAGAGCCGGGCGAATGCGAGGCCGGATGACTCGATTATGGAGTACGACGGTTTTGTGATTGGTATGGGCATTCTCTCTCTCTCCTTTTTAAGGATTTTATGTTGGTAACCTTGGGTATTAAGTGGATTAAACTAAGAAGTGTGTTGATGGAAAACTTTTTGATTTTGTATTGCATGAAGCGGTGTTTGTATTTCTAATTTTCTAAAGCTCTTGTTTTCACAATCTTAGATAGGAAGTATACTGTGTGAAGTTTGCCAATTGAGTCAACAATTATGGATAATGGAACAATAATGTATATTTATGCATGCTAAGCTAGTGGTAAAGTGATGGGGTTTGATTGTAGAAAGTCCCTTGTTCAGGTTCAGAGTAGTCTTTGTGTTTTCTTTCTCAAAAGACTATCTGATTGACAAGGTTCTATGAGTAGTGAATTTATTGGGAACATGGCATGGTTATTTAAATAGTTCAAAGTTTAATCTTTTTGGTCTGTATCATATCAATTTTCTAATGACTTTGTTGGATTAATAGTTCTCGAAGTAGTCTTCTGCTTAAAAAGTCACAGTATTGAAGTTGTATAAAATGTTATTAATTGTTCTTTCACGTAATGTTGCACTGACATGAAGGAAAAAAAACTAGCTGTGCAAGTCTAGTCGAGAATTTAGGTAGTTTTCTCTTTCAAAGTGCAAGGAAAGTGTAAATGTGCAATCATGCTTAGAGATATGTCTGGAAAAGTGATGTCTCGTGTATGAATTACCCATCATCATCACTGACTTGTGTAAGAGACTTAAAGTTGTTAGCAAGAAACTAGTGACCAGAGGTGACTGGTCTATGTTGAAAGTATCAATATGCTCTTTTGTAAAAGAAAGAGAGAGAGAACACTAGGAGGGCCAGTACAACTACACAACTCATCAAGAGCGCAAAACTGTCTCTTTCCATCTTAGAATCATATTCCTTCTAGAAATCACGATTCCAACTTTTGGACAAACAAATGGCATTTGATAGATTGAAGAAGCCAGTTACTTGTAGTTATTATTAATGGAGCCATGGAAATGACATAATAGGAAACAAATTGATTTGTTTCCATTGGTAATAAGGAATTAATTATGATGGGTAGAAAGTGGTCTGTGCTTGCCTGGAAATATGGTTAATTTGGTACGAGTGTTGGAGAGTAAGTTCAATAATAAGATGAAAGTTGTAGCCCTTGAGATCAAACCTTCGCTATCATAGGTGAAAGAATAATTGTTGGATAGTAATGGACTTTAGTATAAGTTGCATTAATTAATCAAATGATAAAACCACTTGGCTAAGGTACTTACAGCTAAAACTAGGTGAACAATAAATACCATTAGTTTCAATCATTGTAGACATACACAAGCATTGGTTGCAGCAAACCAATGAAGTAACTTACAAAGTTTTGACCCAAAAAATGAAAAATAAAAATGGAAAAAGAAAGAAAAGAAAAAAATGGTTGCACCTGTTGAGAACAGGACACTGGTATGGATATGGAGAATCTTAAAAAGTCAGGATATAGGCATGTATTTGATACATCACTTAGTAAATTGTATTAAATTATTAATGTATTAGGTATTTGTGCACGTGCGTGTGTATATATATGCATGTATGTGTGGGTGCGCGCGCGCGCGCATGCGTGCGTGTGCGTGAACAGAAAGGGCGAAACCAAATGATGAGCTTGCAGTAGGAGTTTTGCTAATATTGATGTTACAATAGAATGGGTATGCAAGTTTACTTTTAGTCTCTTACATGCTGCAGGAGGTTTCTATGAGTTTGTAATTGATGGCTTAGGTCATTGTTCCAAAGCTCAACGTACACCACAACCAAAGATAAACAACCAAATTTAAAATAAGAGAATAAGATGTGGCATCCTGTGAGTGAATTTTCTGTTCTATGTTCTGAATTTTTTTTTCTGGATATCACCAATTTTTGTGCTTAAATGTGTTTATTGTGAGACCACTTTATACAGTGCTATGGACTATAACTATAACATTATATATTATGTATATTTTATATATATGTATATATTATATATAGTATATTATAAGTAATATTATATATATATATATATATCATAATATTATACTTATATATATTAAAGGATATGGGTATGCTGTACAAGCACAAAAAAGTTTGTGCTTGGTAATTGAGGTGGGATTATTTCATCCACTCTTCAATTATGCGGACCACATTAATGGGTTGACATGTGTCCCCCAATTTGAAATGAGTGAGAGAAGGGACAATCACTCCAAGCACAAAATTTGTGTCTGGACCAAGTATACGCATTCTCTCTCTCTCTCTCTCTCTCTCTCTCTTATATAGTATATATTATATATTATACATACTATATATATATATATATATATATATATGTCTCTCTGTGTGTGTGTGTAGATATGTGTGTGTATTGGAAAATAACGCACATAACAGAAAGGGAGAAACCAAATGATGAGCTTGCAATAGGAGTTTTGCTAATATTGATGTTACAATAGAATGGGTATGTAAGTTTACTTTTAGTCTCTTACATGCTGCAGGAGGTTTCTATGTGTTTGTAATTGATGGCTTAGGCCATTGTTCCAAAGCTCAATGTATACCACAACCAAAGATAAACAACTAAATATAAAATAAGAGAATAAGATGTGGCATCCTGTGAGTGAATTCTATTCTATGTTCTGAATTTTTTTTGGATATCACCAATTTTTGTGCTTAAATGTGTTTCTTGTGAAGACTACTTTATACTAATGCCTATGCAGCTATAACTGTAAGTTTCAAGAAGTATGGTGCTCATGTACTTAATTGTCTTCTACTCTTAAATATGCACTATATACATCCAAAGAACGTAACATAATTTGGAATTTCTTGGTGAAAGTGACTTGGCTTCTGTCCATTTATTATGACCACTTTACTGATAATTTCTTTCCATAGTGAATCCAATCGAACTAAGGGCTGTCCTAGGATACATCAGTCTCAATCTGACATCAAAACTAGCATCTAATGGGTACTGTAGCAAGCAAGAGAACCATATGATGTTTGTCTTCCACCAGTTAGCACAAAGCCGTCCAAATTCTGTATATTTATTTAACAACAAAACATACGTCCAGAATAGGAAAACTCTAATTTCAATTAGTGTTCCTCTGTAGGTCTATACCACTAAGCCATCCCCTGCATTAATTAGTTCATTGAATGATCAATCCAAACTAATATTAAACCCAACCCCATGAAAAGAAAAGGAAAAAAAAACCTAGGTAATATCGCTTCACTTAATGTTGGGGATAGGGACTATGCGCTCCAAATATGGATCCTTCATGCTGGAACTTGTAGCCTTCCATCAATCAATCGTTGTGCTCCCCCCGTGTGGGAATCCTGGCATGAGAGTACCACCTGCTGGTCGCAAGAGTAGTCTTGTCTCTTATGCGCAAAGAAAAGAAAAGAGAAACTGGAAACTTGGCTATCTTTTGTGATGGAAGCCTGTACTAACACCAAAAATTAAGGCACACTATGTAATAGCAGGCAGTTTGGTAATGCCAGGCAACTTTGCCGTCACCTTCATTTTTTTTTAGGTTGCTCATTGAGATCGCCTAGCCATGTCTTAAGTATTTTTTTAGGTGGTCCCATTAGACCTTCACAACTCGCATTTTCATATGCTTGAGTTTCCTTGGAATCCTTGATTTCTGTTCTTGGGAGTTCATAGGATTAATCATCTGGCGTATGACTAAGGACTGATTTTTTGTTGGAATCATTGATTTGCCTGATTAGGTTTAAGTAAAAGCTACTCGGTTGGTTCTTGGTTACTGCTATTTTTTAGTGGATGACTATAGTTGTGTATTTTATATTTTTAATATAAAGTTTATATTTTTTTCTGTCTCGGTTGGAAATTTTGAATAACCATAGTGAAAAATAGGCACTCCGTTTATCTTTTTGCTTTCCTATGATCATTTCAGTGCAATTTGTTTTCCACACCAAAATTTTCCTTGCTAATGTTCGTTTCCTTATCTACTACAGGCTTTATTTACTAATCAGTGGTCGTGACTCTTATGCAAACTATACAAATTAAGCTTTTCAGACATGTCAGGGTTATCTTTCTCTTGTGTCCGCTTGTCAACGTATTTTGAGTGCATTATGTCATTTAGTTTATAGTTAGGAATTATTCTAGATATCTGGTATTCAGGTCTCTCTGTCAACATTTGATGCCCTAACAGATGTTAGCTCCCCAGCTCTTGGCACCAAAGTTTTTTATTTGTTGGGAGCCTTTTTCGTTTGGTTCTTTTAAGATTTTCATGCCATGCAAGCAATGTTTTAAAAAGTTCCCGTCTAGCTTGCCTAGGCTCCCGCCTAGAGCTAGGCAGTACGTAGACTGCCTAGGCTCCCCCGCCTAGGTCTTGAGAGTATCTAGGGAGCAAAGATTGCTTATGCGGACTGCACTGCTAGGCCTTGGCTGTAATTTCTTTTGTTGCTGCCTTCACATTCTCTGACCTCCTCTGAACTCCTCTGGCCTCTTCCGACTGTGAACACCTCTTCCAACTCTTCCAACTCTGACCTTCCACCGCTTAAATGACAAAAAAATTCCTAGGCCTAGCGCCTAGGTGCTAGATGATAGTTTAGCACCTAGCGTTACTAGTGCTTTCGATAAAATTGATTGTAATTAACAAATAAAAAAGAGGAAATCGCCTAGGCCCATCCTAGAGTCCCTCCTAGGCTCTTGGCTCCGGGTCCAAAGCCTAGGCCACCTAGCACTTTCTATAAACTTGCATGCAAAAATTCATAAAATGCAGAGTGCTTTCTTTCTTTATTTTAACCCATATCAACGAACATTGCGATTATGTTTTGTGTTTAGTGACAATTTGAAAATATACAGCGGTAATGATTTCTCCTAATGTTTTAAATTCCGTCTTCATTCGATAATACAACTCCAGCTTATCTTTCTTTGGGAATGAGAATGATTTAGTGTTTTAATCAAATGTCATATCTACTTCACCTTGTTGTAGTGATTACTTTGTTCCTCTAGGTACTTGAATACCCTTTTTATTCTTCTTCTCTTTTTGCAGTTTGTGATCCCAAGAGCCTTCTCTTCCTGTTTGGCATGCAGCTGGATTTCAGTGATGCTCTCATCGGTGGAGGTTTCTCATTCAAGAACCCAAATGCCACACAAACATGTGGTTGTGGAAAATCCTTCGCTGCTGAAATGTAGAAATACATGACAAGCACATAGGACATGGTAAATAAAGATGCTTGTAATTAAACAGATATGCACAAAATTAGTCCGTGATTAGTGCGACAACGACTACATGCGTAGCTTGGGTGGTAAATATACTGTTTGGAAACTGTTATTTCATTTGAGACAAAAGCTTGATTATTTTCCATCCAGCGGCTATTATTGCATCTTGAAGCACTACGGGTCGAGGTATTTCAATTGTTACTGTTGTTCTTTGTGATGACCTGCTTTGTTTCACTTTGTTCAAGATACGGGTTCAGAGCCTTCCTTTCCTTTCCCCCCTTATTTGTTATTGTTTTGTGGTGTAAGCCATAAGGTGGCGTCTTCTCTCTCTTTTCCTCCATTTTCCTCCTTTAACCTCGTCTTTTTTGGGCGCTCATTTTTCGCTTCACTTAAAATCCCAATGGCCGCTTTATGATGTTTATGTGATATTCTCTGTTTGGGAAGTCAAAGTATTCGCTGAGGCCACATAAAGCGGACGCCATGATGCGGATTAAGTTAAAAAAATAAAGTGTCTTGGGGATTTTCTAAAATTCCCAGATAGAAGAAATTTTCGTTTTAAACCCATTAAGGTTTTTTTTTAATCTCGTCTCTAAATAGTCGGAGTTGGCAACCCGACTATTTTGCTAATGACCCTGTCTAATTGGCCGGGGTTCCCAACCCCGACCATTTTGCCTTAGCCGATTCCAGCTCGACTCGTCAGCTGGGTGCAAAGGTCTTTCGAATGGTCGGGGTTGGGAACCCTGACCAATTTGAAAAGGGCTTTCGAATTGGTCGGGGTTACCAACTCCGACTAATTTAGTTAGGACATTAGAAAAATAGTCGGGATTAACAATCCCGACTATTTAGAGACGAGATTAAAAAAAATTGACTCATTTCGTGGCCACGTTACTGATGTGGCCACAAAGTGGGACGATTTCGGTTATTAAAATGAGAGTAGGTTGGTTTTTAAAAATAAAAGTTGGACTGGGTTTAAAATGAAAATTTCTTCTTCCCAGATATATTAATATTACTCGCTTGTTGAGGGTTTCAAATTTTTTGGGGTTAAAGTGCTAAACACCCGAATTTATTGAGGGTGTTGTGAAACTTGTCCAATTTATTGAGGGTGTTGTGAAATTTACCCTTTTAGAATGATATAAATCTAAATATGTGTATATAATTAATTAAAATCTAAGTATGTATTAGAGGAGACCTTGTTTTAAGTTGATAAATAAGAATTTTTTTGTAAATCTATGTTAGCATAAAGTTTTGTTTTTTTTTTGTTTTTTATTTTTTTAAAGGATCAAAGTTAGCATAAAGCTATAACAAGGTTTAACCGTAGTTAACATAGCATCTATTACTATTATTTGAGAAAAGCCATATTTTTGGTTCTACCCTTATTTGTGTTGAGATTTTAAAAATTTTAACATATATCATCAACAATATATTGTACATTGAAACTAGTTAAAAGGATTGAATTATAAAGATCTAATAACACCGTAACTATCATCCACTACTTGTTAAATGTCCCCACTCCACATATTTTTCAATAGTAAGATAATTTATATCACTTTTGGCAATAAAATTCTAAAAATCTATTCATACTAATATTGACTATTAATGTGTTAGAAATATTTTTATAGGCTCAAGTGTTATATATAATGCGTGCAACTGGAGAACCAATCTTTATAACGAAAACTTTCACAAGCAAATTTTAAACCACTCTAAAAATGGCAGAATTGCCCTCGTTTTATGAATCACTGTTGGTTACAAGTGAAACACTCCTGTGACCAAGGGGTTGTTTGTTTTAACAAATTTTTTAGCATTTGAGGTGGATTTGAATTTCTTAAAACAAAAACGTCTCATTTTTATTTATGGGATTCCATAGAGTGTTAGTTTCCCAAAAAAAGGCATTATGTATCCATAGAATGAAAAAAGTAGAAACTTTTGGGGTTTTTCAAAATCCTACAATTTGAAGAGGATTTGCTAAGTATTAAAAATTTAAAGTTTTGGAATTGGATATCCATACATTTTGTATTTTTTTATATTTTAGAGTTTGAATCAAATAATACACTATTTTTTTTAGAATTTGGTTTCCTCTAATCAAGTTGAACCAAACATGAGATTAGGAATTCCAAAATATCTTAAAAACATATGGATTTAAAATTCTTGATGAGATTCCAAATCCTATAATTTTAGGATTTGAACCAAACAGCTCCCAAGTAATAGGCAAAAAAAAATCTCAAAGTTACAAAACCACCCTCCAAAACCTTCTTTTTTGCATTTTACAACACAGCAACTTTGCGTAATTCATGTCAAAATCAAGAAAACTAAGGCCTTTAATGATAAAAAAGCTCAATGAGCTGAAGATAATAACGCCGCGACCGAGAACAAGCGAGAGCGGGGTTTTCGTCGGTGGGGAAAAAATTTAAAGCGAGGGGAAAAAAAAGAAGAAAAAAAAGGTGGGGAAAAATGTCTGCTTCTTTAACTTCTTCCCTCTCCCTCGCTTTCAATCGGCACCGCCACGTTTGCACCCAAAATCACACCCACTCCTCCATCCCCATCCAGCTCTATCCGCCACGTGGCAGAGTGTCAGCGCGCGCCAAGTTCGAGAAGTTCGACGGCGATGCCACCACAGGTCCCGCCGCCTCCGAGTCCGAAGTGGATTCGGGCCAAGAGCAGCGAGAGTCAGTGGAGGATCAAGATAGGTAAATTTATTTGCAAAATTTGGACAGAAATTATGATTTTTTTATATATTTTTTTTATTTCTTTACTTGATAAAAAGAAGAGGTTTTGGTGCAGCGATTTGCCTTCAGATTTGGAGGATGCGATTCGGCAGTCGAGCAAAGCCAGCGCGGACTTCATATCCAGTGGAGGGATGAGAGCAATGGTAATACAGGGTTATTTGCACTTTGGTACCTAAAGTTTACACCATTACTTTGATAGTCAAAGTTCTTATAACTTTGATACACCAAAGTTTTTTTTTTCGAACAAATTTTCACTGTAGACCCAAACGGAATTTTAATTACCAAAATCGATGGATTTTTTTTTTAATTATCAAAATCGACCCGTTTTATGCCACGTAGGCTTAATCTAGTTTCCTAATTAGTCGGAGTTGCCAACCCCGACTGTTTAGGAGTTGTTAAACCCCGATTAGAAGCCTTAAAACCCGGTTTAACAACTCCTAAACAGTCGGGGTTGGCAACCCCGACTAATTAGGAAACTGGATTATGCCTACGTGGCATAAAACGGGTCGATTTTGGTAATTAAAAAAAATCGGTCGATTTTGGTAATAAAAAATTGGTTTTGGTCTACAGTGAAAATTTGTTCTTTTTTTTTTGACACTTTGCTACCTGAAAGTTTACACCTTTTTAAACTTTGATCCATCAAACTTTTGCTTTTACTGCTTTGATACCCCAAACTTAAAATTTGTGTAAACTTTGGGGTTAACAAGTTTAAAAAAAAATGTGTAAAACTTTCGGGTATTAAAGTGCCGGGAAAAAGCTTTGGGGTATCAAAGTTAAAAAAAGAGTAAACTTTTAGGTTATCAAAGTTAAAAAAAATAAACGTTAGGGTACCAAAGTGCAAATAACCTCAGTGTGGTAGAATTGGGAGGTTAACTAGTAAATATCTAGATTTGGGGGGAAACTTGTAAAAACCCATTTTTTACTTTTAAGCTATGATTTTTTAAATGTTCGCGTTAATTTTTGTTTAATTTCAGGTAGAACTTTTAATTCCTCAATTGCAATTTCTTGACGCTGAAGGTGCTCAAGCTGAGCTATGGGAATTGTCGAGAATTTTCTTGGAGACTTTAATTGAGGAGACGGGAATTCAGGTTTGCATGTATAGTTCATCTTGATCTTAATACACATTTGAAGATGTATGAAAAATGTTGCCAAAAAAGAAGATTTTGTCGGGTGAAGTGTAGTAATTGCTACATATTGTTGTAGTTTGAAGTCTCTAGAGAACTTAAAATTTTGGTTATGGTTTACAATTATCATATTGTTATAGAAATTATTAAAATTCTATTTTCCCATTTAATAGGTTAATTGCTGAAGAGCCCCTTGTACTGTAAGAATAGTCACATATACCCCCTTTAACTATTTTATTAGTATCCAAGCAACATTATTTCCCTCGCTAGGTTGAGATGTCATATGAGAATCATGTCACGGTAAATTGACCTTTTGCCTTTTGGCTGTGGCAAAAAGACACCTTGTGAGTTTTAGGGCTGTAATTGCTAATTAAAATAAAGTTTAGAGGATCCCCCCGATCTCATTTGAAGGTGTATCTATAAATATTCCTTTAATCTAAGAAGCACCAATGTTTGGGCACTAGCGTGAATGATAGATAACAGATTCAAAAAACTGAAATAGTATGCACAAAAATGATAGGGAATGACGAAAAGTACTATCTATGGTACATGTATCTCTCACGTGTCTGATTAAACGGAAAGTTTCCATGCTTTATAGGTCTTAATGATATATGGAAAGCTAATGGAATACTGGGAATATGAACTGGAGTTGACCTATAGGTCCATGAAAATAGTTGTCAATATCTTCTTTTGGTTGTTTTTTATCTTTCTGTACATCTATACAAGTTCCTTCACTGTTCTTTTGCATAATAGATTAATCATGTGATCATGTTTATGTACTGATGCAATTTTACGGGAAAGTATCAAGTGAACTGTCAACTATGGTAGTACATTTACTAATGGATAGACTAATTGGCTCAATTTCAGAGGGTAAGAGCAATATTTCCTGATGCTGGAGCAGCAGCTCTTTTAAAATATCAGTGGAAAGATGTGAAATTTGGGTTTTCCAGGTATTTGTTATACACGACTTCAACATATTCATCATTGTATTTAGATATAAAACTTCGAAATCTATAAAATGCTTAGCCAGCATTATCTTACCGTTATGCATATTTGTCTATTCTGTGCAAATTGTTTAAGCTATCAAGGTGTTAATAGTAAAGATTAGACTAGTACTTCTATGTAGTTTTGGTACTTATAAATCCACCTTCATTCTGTATCTTAAAAATACAAATATGGCAATTATACTTAATTTTCGATACTTTCAATAGACTAGATTTACCCCTACGCTCTGTGGTTATGGGTTATGCTACATAATATCATGTGTTTGAGTCTCATTGAAGGGCACGATCCTTTTGATGTATATGTTTGTACTTTTGATTATTATATGTCGTTATGCAGCTTAAGCGACAGGAAGCCTGTAGAGGATGAAGATGAAGTTGTGGTTATGATAGTTCCAGACTACCAAATGTTAGAATATGTGGAGCGCATTGCATCTAAGCTTTCAGGTGAAACGGTATGTAGTTTCATTTGGTATATTAATTGCAGGGATACTTTTTTCACTTATATATTGAGAAGTTGAAGAAAGAGTTGGGCTTAGTGATATAAATTTCAGGAAGATTCTTGCTTATCATACTGATGCTTAATTGAAAATTATTCAGAAATATGAAAAAAAACCTATTTGATCGATTCACAATTTAAGATCGATTTTGGTTAACCTTTAAAGTAATTCTCTTCCGCAGCTTATTATTCGTTTCAATTGCATTGTTAAATAAGATAGGAGGGTTAATTCTGTGATAGCAATTTGATAGAAATAGTGTCACTCAGGCACGTGACATGGATTGTATAGGGTCCTGATGTCTTAAATAGTATCTGGCTAGGAACCTTCAGAAATCGACTGGGGGAAACACATTATATGTAGATAAACAAGGACAAGGAGAATAAAATGAAAATCAACAACAAACTCTTTATCCCACAAAATTTGCATTCAGGTATGGGAATGTTTTTCACATATAACTCTCTGGGATTTATTCAATAGATGTTTGAGAGAGATTTTAAGCTTCTTTCAGCTAATCTGAAGCAGTCCCTTTCCTTTACTTGGGCTTAGCTCTAGGTATAAAAGTATTTGACATATCGAACAGCAGAAGAGTTAATCATTCTAAGACAATATATTTGATATGCGGTTTAAATTCCATATTTCTTGTGTTATACCTCCATAGATCAGTGGCAATTCTGTGGCTATTTTCCTAATCCCCCTGCCTTTTTGATATTTTAGAGTTCCGTATGACCTTAAGGCACCCTTTGGTTGCTCGCATCATCTCTGAACTTTGAACTCGGTTAGATTTTATCATATGCATCATAATGATGTTGAAAAAAATCTGTGTGTTTTACAAGTATCCACCAGAATAATTTGCTGACTTGAGCCTGAGCGGCTTTTTTTAGAAGGATATTGTTTCTCACACTAGCTTACTTGTGATTCCACTAGCCAAGACCTCTCATCATGTGGAATCCACGTCTTGTGAGTGAAGATGTTGGAGTTGGCTTCAATGTCCGCAAGCTACGTAAATATTTCTTAAGGTAAATTTGTTATTTATATCCCGTGCATATTTTCTAAGGAAATTGAAGCTAAAATGTTCCTGCGTTGATTAGCCTTCACATTTCTTCTAAATGAAGTTCTCTAATATTTCTATTATTTGCGCATTCTTTTGAGAAAAATGATAGAGTCTTAAACAGCCTCTCTATATTTCCAACTAGGCAAAGTTTCCCTTCTTCCTAGTTGGTCACTTCCCTCGACAATATACTACTTACTACAGAAGCGTTATAGTCTCAAGTAGCACTAAATCATGTACATGCATGCAAAGAAAAAAGTCTTTTGTTTCTTCCATCCCAAATGAGCCAAATCACTGCCAGCACAGTAAACTAATATTCCATTTAAGTCTATTGCTACTTATCCAGTCTAACCAAAGGTCTGTTAATATGCTCTCCTATAGTCCCCATACTATGCTTGAGAGAACTCCAAGCATCTTTAACATGCCCAAACTTCAAGATATTCCATTTTACAAACAGAATCATGTACTTTTCCTTTTAAAGAAAGAGCATCTGAAATGTTAAGTCTCCTTTTTGAAGCCAGCCACATGAAGAAAATATCAACTTCAAAAGGGATAGAAATGTTCCAATATCAGTGTGGACTTAACTCCTCCAAAACTGATGTAGGAACGGTTACAATTACCAGAAAAACCTTCTCCAATTTCTTCTTTCAACATCTCTATATGTGGATCTATTGATGTATGGCCTAAATAAAGCTCTACAACTTTGAACTCTTGAACCAAACTTCTAGTAAGATTTCTTCTGAAATGTACTGTCCAATATCGTTGGTCTGCAAATCACAAACATAAAGAGGCTATAAACACTGGTTTATGAATTGAAAAGTCAAAAAGATTAGAGAAAATATAGGCTAAATGCACGCCACTAATCCATCTGTCAAGCAAAAAGAAAACAATTTCATTTCCCACCTAATTGGATAATAGCTCCCGTAACAAAGCTGTCATTGGCTCGAAGAAACTCGTTTTCCTAAAAGCAGAGAGCAAAAAAATGTCTTATTCTATAATATTGAAAATAAACTGCTTCCATAATAAATCTGGAAAATGGAAAAAATTCCACAACTATCTGCCTAACAAAGAAATACTCTTTTGTTTCAAAGCCAATATCCCAGACCTTCTTGAGACTCAGGTTGACCAGTGATGGGGAATAATTAGGCCCAACATGAGCCTTAAACAGCGTCAAAGCCAACATCCCAGGACCTCTTGACACTTAGGTTGACAGGTGATGGGAAGTAATCAGGCCCAACATGGGCCTTAAACAGAGGCTAGAAACCACTTTCAACCCAAAAGCTTAAGCTGTTAGGTATTAGCCGTACATTGGGCCTTAAACAGAGGCTAAGAACCAATTTTAAACCAAAAGCTTAATCTGTTAGATATTGTTCCCAACTTCTATTTAAAACCCATAACTCTTCTTATCCTATCTGATGTGAGACTATCCTCTACTCAAACAGACTGACCACAGACTGACCTCTTTCAAATGAAGTAAACAAGTACATGGTGCATTTACCTAGTACTTTCCCAAATAATTTCTTCTTGCATGTATCTATGATTGGTTGTGTATATAGTTAGTTGAAAACAGAATGCTACTCGCCTTTTTGGTTTTTGGATCATTTGTTGCTTATATCTTTTATGTATTGTACGCAGCACCTTTACTGTTGTTTATTCAATGAGGCCTCTCCCATCTGGTGCAATCTTTAGATGCTATCCAGGGTGAGTTATAGAGAGATCTTTCCATCATTTGAAATTTATTACATGAGAAAAAGAATTAAAACTGCAGAGCCATTTGCATGAAAGTTTTTTTTTTTTAATTCTTCTTCTGGTTTCTTTTGCAGAATGTGGAAAGTGTTTTATGATGATGTGAATAGGCCGAACAGATATCTACTAGCAAAGGAACTACCCAGCCGTCCTGATGCAACAGAAGTTGAGGTCAGAAATATTTTTGTTCTTTTTTTGTCCTATAAGTTCGAGACTTCTATACCAGCAATATTTTGTAACTTGATCGTATAAACAAGAATTTTCATTGGTCTTCAAACATGTTGACACAATTTCCAGAACATTATCCTTTCCTCTTTTTTTATTTATATGATCAATCATTGGTTCTGTAGCGGCATGAATCATTTGGAAATCGATCCTCTTTTTATTTTGTATAATCAGTTAAATCTGTGCATGCTCATAGTGATGAATCATATTACAAGATAAATTATAAAAAAAACACGTACACTTGGTAGTGAATCTCACGCTTATGTCCAATACCGCACGCCTGTACAGTCAAAGTACTTTTCCGATACATATCAGATGCTATGGAGCTGTGTTTGATTTTATGAAACCAAAACCATATGTAGGAGCTGTATTTATCTTCAGAAGTCTTAATAAATCGTGTCAAACATCGTGAAATCATAGACCATCTAAATAGTCATATTAATGGACCATTGGACCACATAACTTCAACACCATGTGAGCATATGTGAAGCTTCGTGGACTTGTATATTCTTGGTATTGGGTTGGGCTTTCAGTTTTGGTTTGATTTAATTACTGGACTAGATCATGTATGGGTTCAGGGTATCAAAAATTTTCTGTTCTTTCTACTTTTATCAAAATTTTATAATCACTATTGGTTTGATGCACATTAAATATAGAGACATAAACACGCAGTCATGTCACTGTATTCCCGTATCCCACTTAAAAACTGGTTGTCATCATGTTTTGTGTTGTTTCATTTTCCATGTCTGTGTCCATGCTTTCTAGGTGGATAGTTTTACAGAGAAATTTATTTTCTTATTTAATATAATCAGTATCTAGTTGGCTCTTTTGTAAATTGTTGGATGCCACTTCTTCGGTAATTCAACAAAGAACCCTCTCTCACTTATATTCTTCATGCACAGTTAATCTTTGGAAACGTATCTGAGGAGTTTGAAAAGGGACCTTCATTGTTGGATGCAGCCATGGGGATGCTCACTTCATTAAACCGATTTATGAAAGCCATATCCAGGTGAATATCAGCTCATGCTTCATACTGTGGTGTACCGCTATGTGAAGCTATCATGGAGATGTTACTATTTACATGTTTACCTTACTACATCGGGTGTAATTCAGAAGATATAGCAAGTTCTTCATAGGTTTTTTTCCCCTTCCAAATTTTGTTACAATCAGAATGTAATGATCTTTATAACCACAGCATGTCTGGTTCACTACTCCAGTTATTTGAATACAGTTCCGAAGTCTTCTTATGACCTCTTTGCTCATTGTGATGAAATTATGGTTCTATACCATCTTTTAGGTTTTAATCTTTATTATATAGAACTGGACATAAAGTGTTAAGAACCAAACTTCATTTATCCCTTGATATCAATTGGATACATGATTAATCTTGCATTTCTTAAAGTGCGCAGAAATTTACTTCACATTGAGATTGGTTAAAAAAAAGCTCTGTCAATATCTAAGAAGATAAGATATTGATTTAACTTTCCATCTGAATGGGCATTTAACACCAGATATCTAGTTACTTATAAAGTACAGCGCGAAGAACTTTCACCTTTTACATTGTATTTGTTTCCGGTTTTACGATGATTTCCAATCCCAACAAATGTCTCTCTTGCTGCTTGCATCTCGTTGACCACATCTCCCATTTGCATCCTCTCTCCTGACGACTGTCTAGAGCACAAGAGGCCAATTCTAAGAACTGACACCAAACATTCTTCAGCTTCCACTCTTATATTTTGATTCTCCCCTTGGAATAGATATGGGTCTACGATTTTCATAATACCTTCAGGAAAGGCCATTTCAACAAATTTATGAAGATCGTGATCTTCTTCAAAAGTCTCACCAGTAGGCCTTTTCCCAGTAAACATCTCTAGCAGCAGTACTCCATAGCTGTAGACATCACCTTCAGTTGAAACTTGGTTGGCCACCCCATACTCTGTGACATCATTTTTTAAAGAAGATAATTCAATATCCATGTATAATACCTCCAACATATTAATTTTTACAGATGCGTGTAGTTTAAAGAAATGCCCTTATCAGTTTGATTATTCTCTAAGTATTGCTTATAAACAAAATAGGGAGGCCAATAATCGGACAGGTTATCATTCAGTACAGAAGAGGACTAGCTAGGAGATTTAACGTAATATTACAGATGAATATTCCTGTTGGGAAAAGTTGAAAGTTTGATTATGCAAGACGGCCCAAAGTTCGCGGGGTTTTAGTGGAACAAACAAAATGTTTGGGGGATGGGTTATTTTTTAATTTAAAATTTTCATTTTTATTGGGTTGAGTTTTTTTTTTCTTTTTTTTTTTGGGGGGGGGGGGGGG